CTAGAAACAAATTCCTTGGGTTTTCCTATATTACCTTTGATCAAGCCTTCTATACAAAGGGCTCTCTGGCATAATAGGGTTTCTGATGTATACTAAACACCTACAGGTAAGGTGAACTTGAAACCACAAGAAACAAGCATTGAGATGCCCTGTAAGTTCCCCCCCTTTTTTTTTAAGAAACTATGCAGGGATTTCCCTCTCATAGCTGTGTTTTGGAATATAATTTGAAAATAGATATCAAACCTTTATACACTACCTGGTCAATTGGCTTGAGAAAGCACCTCTGCCCTCCTTATTTAATTTTTTGGGGGGGGGGCACTCACCATCGCACTCTTGTTTGGTCAAGAATTTGCGTTTGGTGGTTTGGGAGGGATTGAATCGGCTCTTCATCCAATAGGGAAGTAAGTTTTCACGATCCAACCGACACCTCGAACTTAGAGATGGGATCTTTTGCTGATACTATAGATTTGGTGTCAGTTTGGGATCTTATCTATTTATTTATTACTTACCTTTTACAGGAGTTACCATTTAAATCCCTTGATTTAAATGATCAAATGGCGGAAGAGTAATGGGCAATATTGCCTAAACTCTTTTCCTTCTTTTCATAAGAAGGAAGCGCCATTAAATGTTATCTTATGTTATGGCCCGAGATGTGGTCACTTAAAAAAGAATGCATTCCCACAAGTTGATACATGGTCTAAATATTCTGAAATGGAATAGACAAACTCTATTTTGTGAAATTTGTACAAAATGCAAACAAACAAGATTACCGTTCCCAAAGAAAATGAGCACAGTAAACTGTGACGTACTTGAACTTGTACACACTGATATATGTGGTCCTATGAATGTCACATCTTTAGGTGGTGCAAAATACTTCACAACATTTGTCGACGACAAATCGCGAAAAATTACTGTGTACACCTTACACAAAAGGTCCGAAGTTCTTGAAGCATTTAAAAAGTACAAATTTCAGGCTGAGAAAAAAAGGCAACTGAAAATACTCCACAGCGATAATGCAAAATAATTTAAAAGTCAAGAATTTAATTAATTCTTAGAAAAGCAGGGCATTAAATGCCAATTTTCAGTGGCATATAGATTGCAACAGAACGGAGTTCCAGAACGCGCCAATCATACCCTAGTTGAAATGGCCAGATGTCTACTATTCAAAGCAAAATTACCTCAAGGACTGCGGCTAGAAATGGTGAATACTGCCACTTATATTCGAAACAGATGTCTGACTAAAAACAAATCAAAAACGCTGAAAGAAATATGGTCTAAAAGAAAGCCTACAGTATCTAATTTCAGGATCATAGGAAGCAAAGCTTTTCGCTAACAACTTCAAAGAAAAACAAATTTCTCCCAAAAAGTGAAGAATACATTCTTGTTGGATATTCTGAGGAACTGAAAGCATATCATCTATGGAAACCTGGAACTTCTGAAGTAACACAAAGTCATGATGTCACATGACTTTGTGTTACTTCAGACTGTGCGGATAGCACAGTCGATCGGTACAAAGCCAGACTCGCCGCCAAAGGATGCTCGCAAAAGTATGGAAATGATTATACTGAAACCTTTTCACCCATAGTTTGCTACAACTATGTACGAACATTGCTCGCTTTAGCTGCCGAATATAACCTCAAAATACATCAAATGGATGTCCAAACAGCTTATCTGAACGTAAAAATTGACAAAGAGACCTTTACATCTCAACCTGAAGGTTTTGTAACTTTCAAAGGCAAAGTTTGCAAGCTGAAATATCAATCTACGGACTCAAGCAAGCGGGACGAATGTGGAATCTGAAATTAGATTAAACTTTGTGAAAACTTAAATTTGAAAAGTTAACGTCAGATAACTGCATATATGTTCAAAAAGGAACAGATGACTGTATCATAATCGCTATTTATGTAGATGACTTGATAATTCTGACTAAAAGTGAATCTTCCATGATACACATTAAGAAAACTCTCAGCAAAACCTTTCAAATGAGGGATTTAGTTAAATTAAAAACAGTGTTTAGGAATTAACATTGAGCATAATGAAAATGTATCAATTAGCCAAACTCAACACATAAAAGAACTCTTGGCTAAATACAGTATGCAAGAATGTAGATCTATATCAACACCATTAGATCCCAACATTAAACTATGCAATTCTTCAAATGTCGCCAAAGAAACGTGTAGACAAAATTAAGTATCAATCATTAATTGGATCCTTAATTTACTTGGTTGTATCTACATGACCTGACATTGCAAATTCTGTTAGTAGACTTAGTCAATTTAACAGTAACCTGAAATATTTTCACTGGATTCAAGAAAAATGCGTATTATAATACCTTAAATCTACAATAAATGTGAAGATAACTTATCACAAAACAAATGTTATGTAGACGCGAAATGGGCCGAAAATACTCTCAACAGAAATAATTTAGCGGCTATAGTTTCATACTAGCAGGAAGCCCGATTTCTTGGGAATCGCACAAGCAAAGAACTGTAGTGCTATTAAGCACAGAAGCAGAATACATAGCGTTAACTGAAGCTTCAAAAGAAGCCATGCACTTGCGTTTGCTATTAAGAGAGCTAGGTTTTTCGGAAAAGGTAACAGAAGCAACTGTATTATACAATGACAATCAAAGTGCACAACATTTAGTGAAAAATCCAGTTCATCCCTCTCGAACAAAACACATCGATACTCGATTTCATTACACCAGAGAGTTATACAACAATAAAGAAATTGACATTAAGTATGTGTCTACAACAGAAATGCCAGCCGATATTTTAGCGAAGAATCTCGGCAAGGACAAACATAGGAAATGCATGAATTTATTAGGACTTGAAATTTAACTAATGAATGTCATTTTTTATTTTGTTCTCTTTTCAGCTCATCGAGGGAAAGTGTTAGTGATAGAAATTTGCATTTCTCCAGTTGGCAATTGCGCTGAGCAGAAAAAGTGAACTATATAAGGTATGCGGAAGGATTCCTCCCCGAGGAGACGAACAGAGAAAGATAGTCTGTCTTCCCGATTCTGAGGGTCCTGAAGTCTAACCTCCCTGCTACGCCTATCTGACGATGTTTGCCGACGTCATTCTCTCAAGTGTGGTGCAGAAACGTGATGCAAGGAGTCCTACTAAGGAACAATTCATTAGAAATAAGAATCTACTCAAGCATTCCGGATTATCTGTATACATCGCAAAATACATGCCTATATGAAAAGGACTGTTAAGCAGGGTCAAGTCATATTGTACCAAAATAATTCTAGTACAGTTTCTACGTTATCCATCATATAAATTCATTAATGTGTTAAAGTCCGACACGATACATTCATCTATGTTGTTGAATCTTAAGGATTGAAGACACTGATTAAATTTTATGTTTAATTTTCCAACATGGTGTATTTTATACTTCTGTAGCAGAGAACCTTGGTTTCTATACCCACCACTGCGCGTGACTCTCAAAATTCTGAAAAGAACACCAAATCTTCAAATATAACAATTAATAATGTTACCACACTGTGATATAAACTAAAAATTATAGAATAGCATTTTTAATGTTTCTCTGCTACGTTACTAATCAAAATACAAAAGAGAATGAATAATTTTTCAAGCTTAGATTCACATATGTTTCTAAATAGAATTAATTTTTTTAATTCAAATTTTAGATTGCAATAAAATGCTGAATAACAGCTTGCTGTTGTATTGCTGGCAGTTAAATTTCAGATCATCAAATTTCTTAGATATCGCAAAAGGTTTGCTATAAGATTTTTTTTTTGTTTTGTTTTGTTTTGTTTCCTGGAAAGACTGCACACTTTTCCTGTACCTTGAGGCTTTATGTTGACATTTTAAAAATAGGTTTCTTAAAAAAACTATAACAGAAGCAATTTAATGATAGTTTTTCTACTACTATGAGATCCTTTAGATCAGTAAAGTTGCCATGTCTCATTTTTAAAAGTTTGAAAAGGTTGCCTTCTTTTTTTTCTTTTTTTTTCCCCCTCCAGTTCTTATTAAAGAGGCATACTGAGATGGAACAGTGATGAGGCCTGATTTCAATGACTTTCACAGCCTTTTCAATTAAGCAATCCAATCTACTTCATTTTACAAGTGACCAACAAGCAATTCATCTGCTCTGCTTTTACTCTTCAAGCATGCCAATGTATACAAGTGACAGACAAACTAAGATGTGTCAATATTGCAGCCATTATATGTGAGAAATCAAAGAATGCAACATAGACACTACTGTCACTTATCAGTGCAGTCTTGAAATTTGCTATACCAACTAAAATATATGCTAGTATTGCTATTGAAAAGAAGATATTACTATGTTCAGAATGGTTGTAACCCAAAATTCATATTTTTTTAGTGCCAGTATTGCAGCCCATGAACCGGCCATCTAACTAGCTGCATCCATCAGTTGAGGTGAAGATGAATACCAATTTATCTTTATCTACTATTAGAATGAAAAAGCACTTTTGGTGCTATAGCTTTTTGCCATGTGTATCATTTAACATTTTTGCTAAAGTGAAACATTATTACATTATTTTTACATTATTAAAATAATAATAAATAAATACATTTGAATGTCAGAAATCTCAGCTATATGTAAAAGCTGAGATTTCTGACAGTCTAGTTAAGGTTTAGATTTCTTTTCTGTTAGGGCTAGATTTCTTTTCGGTCTAGTTAAAAAAAATAAAGATGCTAAATTTTTTAATTTTGATCATAAAAAGTTAAATAAAAATAAAAGCATGATTAGTTATCATTAATGATTATTACACAAATATCTAAGATAAAATTCCCATGAGGAATTTTCTTGTGACACATGTCTAGGTGCAATTAAGAGATAATGTTTTATAACATAATTCAAATGAAATTTAATTTTCATTCATAATTTCACTAGATTTTTACTGATTAATATTATAATATATTAAATTTCAGAGCTACTTGAATAACTTAAAATACCTTTCAGGATTTTTAATGAAACTCCACTGTTACATGTTAATAAAAACTTACTTTTTACACTATACAACTCCAGGTTCAATTCGTAAAAGCCATCAGTACCAAATATAACACTATTTTGTGAAAAAATAATACAGCTGCAAGGTTCATTTGTTTCAATAACCTTAAAAAAGGGCAAAAAATACAAATTCAGCAATTACTATCGATTGTAAATAAAATTTGCAAAATAAAATAAGGGAAGGATAATTACATACAAATGTTAAGTAATATGCAAATGCTACAAATAACTAATCTGTGAAAAATTCAATTTTAAAACCATATTACAGTTAATCTTTTTACATACATTATGAAACACATCATTGCATAAAAATGATTTCTGGTGCAAAAGAGAAGTGAGTAGCACACTAATATGAACTTCAATAGTAAAAACAAAACAGCAATTTTTACACTTGAAAAGTATTAATCAGATATTTCAAGTACTGAAGAAACTAAGCCCTGCCATTCAGATATATTCGTAATATTTTGCCATTATTGATTATAGAACTGCTAATCTAACATTAATATATTAATTGCATTTTCTTGAAATTAAGAATAAATTAATTGAAATTAATGCTTTCTACAATGAAATGTTGTGGGATATGAATAGAATAAGACAGTTTAGTAGTTTAAAAAGAAATTCTACAGTGTTTTAGTAAAATTGCAAATAGCTTCTTTTTTTAGAATGCAAGTTCTCTGTTGCCATCAATACCATTTAAATGATGTATTAATACTGAAAAGTAATGTAAATTCAACTTCAAATTGAAGCTGATTTTGAAAAAAAAAAAAAAAAAAAAAAAAAAAAAAAAAAAAATCTCAAAAGCATTTCAAAAGGATGACCCCTCCCTTTTCTTAATATTCTGCACTGCAATTGTTTTCAACATAAAAGGGCTTTTTATAATGATTAAAAAAGAAAAATGCCTCATAACAAGCAACTTTGGTTAATGCATTTATTTCTTTATTGCTATATACATTTTTCTTCTACCTAACAGATTTAACGCACTTTGAATAATTTGTCACTTACTCTGTCTCTTGCTGCTTTTGAATGGTTGTGTAAGTTGCATAATCTTGTTTTATTCTCTAATTAATATTTGTATCAAATCTTGAAAATATTCTACACAAATCAAGAAAATGTATTCAATAGCTCCTGTAAATCACACCAGGTTTTGCAGTCACTGTGTTTCTCATCAACCCACAAGCCAAGTGATTTACAGTTTAGAATTGTCATCTTTATTTAGCATGGATTTCTGACAGGTTTCATTTGTGTTTTAAATAGGTCATTAAAGGAACTTCCTCTTTTGAAGAATATTAAGCAAGTAAATAATATACAAATGCAATATTTTAAACAGCAAAAAAACACAAAGCAATTGCCAAGCCTTTCTGAATACTCATCACCAAGATCCTTATAGTGCCATTTTACAGATGAAAAAAAAAGTGAAAGAGGTGCCAGATTTTAGGGTGTGCTGAGCCAGATGGGGGGAATTTGTATTTGTAACAAAATTTATATTACCAAAATTCTGGAAATGACTCCAAAAGTTTGTAAGTGAAAAGGCATCGACTGTAAACTTTTATGTATTGCATTCTAAATTAATAAAAATGGAAGTGTAATAAGACTATACCCATTTACTTTGGTAAATGGTACAGGTTGAAACAGGTACAGGTTATACCAGAAAAACATCTGATTGGCAAAAAAGCACTTAAATAATTCAGTTGCTGCTTTTAAGATTCATTCTTTACAATCCCTAGCTTTTAATAATCATATCTTTGACAGTTGTTCCTATTGACAGAAATATTTTGTCTTTGTAACTTCAGTAACGTTTAAAGAATTTCCTTCTAACCATCAAAAAAGATATTCTGCCTTTGGGGGGGGAGAAGAGTTGTCAAACCACTTTTTACATTGCAAAAAAACTGCCCAGATTTTTCTGAAGTCAAATTCCGGGTTATTTTTATTTTTTCCTATTGTAAAAACATGAAAAAGGCCTTTTAACAGCAAACATGAAAAAAATGCCTTCAACAGGATTCCAACTTCAGATCTCCCAAATGACAACAGAATGTGCTTCCAATGACACCATACAGGCATGTAGTAAGGAAGGAGAAAATTTCTTACATTCTCCACCACTTAAATGGTAATTGGAGAGAAAGGGCCTTAATTGTCAAATTCAGGTGGTGACAAATTATAGCCCACTATATTTTAATTCAGCTGCCATTTGTACAGTCATTAGGTTTGTTCTGGAGCATGATATATGAAGAATCAGCAATGCCCTTGCCTGGAATCTTAACACTGGACCTTCCTATTGCTAGCTAGATGCCCTTTCCAATCACACCAAGAAGGCTTATAGTAAGGATGAAGAAAAACTCCTTACACTGAACTGATTTGAAGAAATTGCTTTTATGAGTGAATTGACTGATTCTAGAAAATGAAATTACAGCTCTTTTACGGTACACTAACAGCTTTTATTATAAGCTTGCCAAGAATAGAGATCTGCTCTTTGTTCGCAAACTGGTTCATTTTACTGGGTGAGCTAATGTCAGACAGGTGAAAAATGAAGAATGCTCTTGTTGGAAGTATCCCAGGAAAGTTTGATTTCCATTTTAGAGGACAAAAGAATGTTATCTTCCTATGTTAAAAGTTACTTTTTCATCATTTCCCAACTTTTTGAAAAAAAATTATTCTAGAATTTTATTATTATTTCTGTGTAGAAAGGACGTTTTAGGCAATCTCAGAACTACAGTTGAAAGAAATCAATTCCAGGGGTTCGATGGAGTCGATTCTTCCAATACCACAACTTGCTCAATTCATTTCGGTCTTTGTTCCATCTTGCTAACCTCTCTAGATTCCTACTTTGTTCCTGACTTTTTTCATCAAAGTTGTCATTAGTACGCAATAAGTTATAAAAAAATGAACCGATTCATTTCGGTGAGCAAACTGCTCCCATGAGATCTTATAAAATAGTGATTTTGTCTGAATTCTCAAACGTTGTACTTCAAATTTAAATATTTGGCAAGGACCATATGAAACTAGATATCCATGGCAGAACCTGTTGCAGTGTAACAGCAGGTTACTTTATAACCTCAAAGTAAGAAGTTATACAGTAACCTATAGGTAATACAGTCAAACGCAACTTATGATGAACACAATTTTTTGATGCCATCCAATTCCATATAAATTTAATGTTATTTTACATTGCCATAGTGAACTCCTAAATGTATATAAATCAGATACAATAAACTTTGTTGGACATCTTGGACTGAGAATTGTAATTTTTGAAACATTTTCCCAGAATTTCTGCTGTTTTCAACTGAAAAATTACTAATTGTATAATTGTATCCTGATTAGGTATTAGAACAACAAGAAACACCTTTAAGTTTGTAGCGGCAGTGCCAAACAGGCGATATAGACTCAAAAACTCTGGAGAAAAGCACCAATTGGCGAAACAGTAAACCTGCTTGTCCCTACGGGCTGACGAGAAGAGAAGAATTTTCCACGGCAGTCCTGGGTAACAACTTCAGTCTGTGTGTGTGCGTCTGTGAAACAATGTGTCTTGTGCCTTTCACGTGATATGTAACTTCGATCTGGGACTGTACGCTTCCTTAAGCCATTATTATGTATCTATATTACTTCTCCTTATTAAATCTTATTCTTAATGTTAAATGCCTATCTCAATTAAGATTGCTATTTTTCTAGGTAAGGTTATCTATACTTTTTTTTGTAGGCACGCGTTACTCGCGCGTACCTCAAGTTATTTTTCTTTTACATTGACCCTCACTTTTCTCTGAATTTTAAACAAAAGACTATGTGAGGCAGGTGCAGCACTGAATTCCTAGGAAACCAGGACACATAATAAACATGTCTATGACAGTGGTCTCAAACTCATGGTCACTGAAGCAATTTTATGCGGCCCACAAAATACCTTTAAACCATGTATTTGTTGTGAACACTATGTTTATAGTTTTAGAGACAAAGACATGGACTGAGGTTATGTGTGCACCAGCTATTGAAGGAAAAAAGGCAGAATGAATAGTTTGGAGTTTTGTCTTTGTCATAATATGCTTATATATCATGCTCTGTGATTAAGGTAATGTTGGGGACTTTCTCACATTGGCACAGTCAGTAAATTAATTTTGCCAGCCAACAATGGGTAGCATTTCAGTATTCTGAAATTTCTGGTTAATGTTAAAAATAACTTATTTAGTAGTTAATTCAACTTATGAGAATTAACTGAATGAATATCAGTCTATAATATAATATTAGATATGAATGCATTTGAATTGCAATGTATAACCAGCAGAAATTTCTGGCACATATAAACCTTTTTCAACAGAAAATAAATATGAATTTGAATTTATTTCTTTGCATTATCATTAACCTTTATATTCTGGTAAATATTTAGTCAGCAGAATTATAGTAAATCTTGTTTGCTTTCATCACAAATGTTTTTAAACCTTGTTAAAAATTGTTCAGGGCTGTCAGATCGAGCATGTGGCCAGCATGCAATTGCCCCTAGTGGTCCGAATGCATTATGCATCAAGCCATTAACATGGGAAGATAACATTGAGTACCATTAATACATTAAAACAAAATACTTGAATCAGTTCTTGGATTCAATTCAAATACTTTCATAAAATTGTATTTATGTTTCCCTTGCCTAACGCTAAATCAGAAGTGAAAAAAATACAGCTGCTTTAAATACCATATGATGATTTGAAGGCTTCTTTTACAGGGTATTTACCCCTTTTGTTTTTGCATAAAACAGTCAGTAGATAATGGGGAATTTATAACATTTCTCTTCACTGTAGTTTTAAACAAGCAGAAAAGCAAAGAGATTTTAAATTCCCATAGAACATAACTCTTGTATCAAACATCTGTCAGCCTCTTAATCAACTTTTAAAATTTAGTTTGGCTAAAATTATTCCTCTCCCTCTTTTTAATTCCAATTTGTTTCTTAAAAGTACTTTAATAACTTGCCAAAACTTTTTTTAACTTTCAGATTCTATTTTGTTTCAAAAGCAATTGCTGTTATTTTTTTTTTTTTTTTCCAAAATTCATATTTTTATTTTCCTATTTAAAAATGACATACTTCAGAGAAAATACTGCAGAATATTTTTTACGTCTAAAAAAGGTTGGATATGAATCAGATTCCCTAAGCCTTTCCATAAAATCACTATGAAAGTTGAATCCAAACTCAAATTTTGCCCAATTCCAAAAATTGATCTGCTTACAATTTAAAACAAGCTAAACAGGTAGCAAAATTGTACAACGGAAGAAATTTAAAGCAAAACTAAACAGGTATTTCCCCCCCCTCTAATACAGGTAATTTCCTTTCCTGGAAACATTCAGTAAATTAGATCAAGGTTTCCCAAACCTTTTCTTGCATAGACCCCTTTCAAAATAGCTAAATACACAATTTTTGGAAAAAAAAAAAAAAAAAAAAAAAAAAAAAACTGCTTATTAGATTTATGTTTTATTAGACTAGAAGAGAAACACGCTAATGTGACAATCAAAATCGTAAAAAACAACCTTATATTTAGCGTAGGTATAATGAAACACTCAATCGATTTCGAGGGCAGCTAAAGGTCCCTCCTCATCAGGAGAAAGAAATACATAGAAAGAAGAAAATAGGAATCACAGAAACACGTGGTGCTTATCAGCACTGCACGTGGTTATAACTAGATTTTTAATCAGAGTTGCACTGGCCGCCTACTTTTACTGAGCCAGGCTGTCTGATCAAGAATAAAGAAATATTAGCGAAGTTAAAATAGGGAGCGAGGGGCAAATGCACATTACGCTCAAAATCTGAACTTCAAATAATGGAAATGGTTGCTTTCCATTATTTGAGCGAGGGGCAAATGCACATTACGCTCAAAATCTGAACTTCAAATAATGGAAATGGTTGCTTTCCATTATTTGAAGTTCAGATTTTGAGCGTAATGTGCATTTGCCCCTCGCTCCCTATTTTAACGTCCCTAATATTTCTTTATGCTTGATCAGACAGCCTGGCTCAGTAAAAGTAGGCGGCCAGTGCAACTCTGATTAAAAATCTAGTTATAACCACGTGCAGTGCTGATAAGCACCACGTGTTTCTGTGATTCCTATTTTCTTTTTTCTATGTATTTCTTTCTCCTGATGAGGAGGGACCTTTAGCTGCCCTCGAAATCGATTGAGTGTTTCATTATACCAACGCTAAATATAAGGTTGTTTTTTACGATTTTGATCATGTTTTATTACTTTTAATTTTATAAATTTAAACAAGTTTCAAAAACCAGCTTTTAAATATACAAAATTTTGACTTTAATTAATGTGATGACTGCATCTGATGTTCTGATGGTTTTTTATTTTTTTATTTTAAATTATATTAAGCACAAAATTGCTTAACTTTTCAATGATATTCAACCTATTTCTTGTTTTTTGTAGTAAATTATTGATTTGACTAAAGCCTGCTTCTATTAGGTATAAGAAGAGAGCTGTAATGATAGTTCATTGTAAGTGTTTTTTCTCAGTTTTGGTAACAGTAAAAATTTCTTTAGTTTTGACTTGTAATTTTCCTTGCATTTCGCAATTTCTTTTTTATATTGCATAACAAATTTTTATATTAAAAAAAACCACCAATTTTTAAAATATATTACACTTTAGTGAATATGAAATTATATTATTTCTTCCTTACTACATGATATAGCTTTATATCAATAAATAAGTAACTATACATTTTATAATTGATTTTTTTTTGGTAATCAATGAGATTTTGATTATTAGAATTTGTCTTCTTTTAAAATTTAATCGACTCGTAGGGGATCAATACCAACTACGTTAGGAGCTCCGAGTTAGGTAGAAACCTTTCACTTTACCTTTTTGGGATAAAAGTTCTTTGAAATTGGTTCCCATTGAAAAAGCCTTACACTTTCTGAAGTTGCAATGCAAATATATGGTGATTCTGTACAAATATTCTCTTCCAGAGCGAACAAGTGGCAGTCTTTGATGTCAGCCAAAGATCTCAGAGTTGGCATTTGATTTGAAGAACTGTGTAGAGCACTCTGAAAGGCACTTAAATTTGCAAGACTTAACTTTCGATCTTCTCCTTAAAGAAATGCAATCGTTGTCATTAATGTGGGTATAAAAAATAAATAAAAAGATGTCATGTAACTATAAACACTCAGTAAGAAAAAAAATTGTATTAATTTTAATTTATATATATATATATATAAAAGTACAAAGTCCGAGATTTGAACTCATCCAGAAATTAGATCATCAGTTTAAATCTAGTAAGATGGCATGTAGAAATTATAAAATTAAAAATATGAAATTGCCATTTATGATCTAAAGGGTATTAAAATTTATGCACACACACACAAAAAAAAGCTTAATATTTATTTGTATTTTCTTTTTACTTCTGTAGATAAACAATTTCTTATTTGGTTGCAAAGTTCAATTGTTCAACTTCTGTAATTGCTGTGCCAAGAATTCCGACCAACTTTTCAGTGGAAATTTTTCACTCTCTATCACTTTCTTTGCTATCAGTAGTGATATTTTCTGGATCTAGAACCACACTACAGATTTACCATCTGTTAATTGATTGATGATTAAGGCACTGTCATCATAATGAGAAACTTCTGTTATATCATCTTTATTTATTACTGCTTCTTTGCATTTCTTTACAAAATCCATTAATTGGAAAATTTCACCTCTGGTTTGCGATATCTGAAAATCTTTAAATTTGTGGCTATCATCTTCATCATCCTCACCATAAAATATAATAACTGGCCATAAAATATGCAACCATTTTTAAAAGTATCTGCAGACACATCCTCGCACGATCTTGTGATGCTCCACATAGAAGATTTTATGCTAAAATATTTTTTAAATTCTTAAATAGTCGTGCCATTATTCAAGAAATTTAGCATGGATTTTATAATAAAATTACCTAAATTTTAGCATTACCTTATATTTGCATTCCAGCATGTGCACTATTCCGATATACACAGATAGTGATGAACGTACAATTTGGAGGAAAGACTATTATGGATGCATTATATTTTACTAAAACTTCAAGTGAAGTATGAGCCAAAAAGTTGTGTACAATCAGGACAATTTTTTCATCATCCGGTAAACCAACCAAATTCAAATGTTGCCAAGCCTCGGTATGAAATGATTTTTCAAACCAATCGTTCATTAACACTTGTATTATCCATGCTCTTTTATTTTCTATGATATATAAAGGGGAAAATCCTTACTCCTTTAAATGCCTGAAGTGGTGTAATTTTTCTGATTATGCAAAGTCTACACTTGTGCATTCCTGCAGCATTTGGGTATGCTAAAATGCTAGTCTCGCTTTGGAATCTTTGACACCAGTTGAAGCCTTTTCTGTAAAGGTTGCCAAGATATTTCATGGTACACTATTAATGAGTTCAATGAATTCATTTGTAAATAGTTCAGCAGCTTCAGTATCAGCTGAAGCTTTTCTACCTGAAATTTTTAATTACCTTATACCATGGCAATTTTTAAATTTGGTGAACTAACTTGTTGAATATGTGCATTCAGTTTTCAAGTTCATTTCTTCATGAAATATTTTGGCTTGAACCATTAGCATTGGATCTATCAATGGCACCCCTCGCTGCGATGCTGTCTGATTCATTCAATCATCACTTTTAGCATAACGAATAGTTGTTTTGTTATTCATTGCAAATGGAGTGTCAGAATCCACAAAAATTCCCCTTTTTCTGTTTTCTTATGTTATATACAGTTGACTTAATGCCATACTCCTTGCATAATTTTGAGAAAGCTACACCTTTATCCAATTTTTGCAGCAATTACAATTTTGTTTAATGAACATCGAAATGTGCTTTCGCTTCGTAGATCCTGTAGCAGCTCCAAAATTAGAAATTCTTTTCGACATAATCGAAAGTTCAAACTTTAATTTTCAATAAAATTGTTGTAATAATAACACCCTGCAAAAAATAATAAGCTGGATCAAATCAGAAAATTAAGGAACAGTGCAATCTGCTATATTAACTGAAATTCCTTGGAATCAGTAAAGTTTAAATTTACTGATTCCAAGGTAAAGTTTAGCTTCAGTAAAGTTTAACTTTACTGATTACTCATGCCTAGCTTAAGAGCATCTACTATACATTATTGGCTATGCCTCATGAGATTAGTGATGAAAGACAAGTTGTTCAGCTAAATTTTGCCTTGCTTCTATTGTGCACCGAGACAACTAAGCTTGTATTATTTAAGTTATTTATCATACTTACTATTTCTTGCACATACTTAAAGTTTATATGAGTCCTGAGTAAATAAATTCCCACATATACTTAAGGCTTATCAAGGGCCGGTGCTAGCTATCTTACCACCTGATGCAGTTTCTAAATTCTGCTACCAAGCACCTCCCTAATTTCTAAATTTTGGTTCCCAGTGCTTTCTTTTCATAAATTCTTAAAATTTTGTCATCACTTAATTTTGTTGCTTAGTGTTTTGTAAATTCTGCCACCCAGTGCAGCCATAAGAGCTCTGGTGCCGGCTCTATGTTTATGTGCATTACAAATCAGTTATTTTTAATTCAAATAGCACTAAATGCAATATTTTATCCTATGGGTATCATTAATAAAATCTATTTTTAGCATATGAAAAGATTTTTGTTAAGTTTTTTATCAACATTTCTTAGTGTATTTAATTTAAATCTGTAATCATCGCTAACTGTAATGTCAACATAAAAGGTTACAATGCTTTTTGTTACTTAGTTACTATTATAAAAGAAACTGTTCAGACACTGCAGCATGAGACATTACTCAAGTTGTTATGTGTTGATAACCATGCAGTGTTTACATTATGCCAAAGGGGCATTTCTTGAACATTTTGTGTGGTACCTTTATTTATTAAATATCATGTTCTTTGCACTTGAACCATAAAATTAATTCAATAGCAATATTGCAAAATAATTTTTGAATGAGCAAAGCTTTAGAATTTCCGATACACAGTCTTGCGCACTGGAGATAAAAATGTTTCCCCACACACACTTTTCTGTACAGTTTTGACAAACAAAATTAAATGCAAATATTAACTGAACAAACTTTTTTTTTAATCTTCATAAAATGTTCCACAAATATTTGCAAGAAATTAAAAATTCAGATCAAATAAAATTGAATAAGAAAAACTATGCTTAATACCACTAGGAATGGGCCAATGGAATTTGCACAAGTTAATAAATTTCATTTATTGTGGAGAAACATTTTCCTTAGTAAAGGCTAAAGATTAAAAATCATGAATATGGGGGGATGCAACAGGGAGATGCAAAGAAAAACTGGACAAGACAGCAGCTTGCATTATGTACTGCATAAAACACAAATAAATTAAAAAGAATGTTAGAATGCTACATATAAAATGCATTTGTGAGAATTATAAAACTGCATTTACCATGAATTAATAATACAGCTCCAGTTTCTTCATTGCAGGCCATTTGATAGATGCAATCAATTCCTTCCATTCTATATCTCAAAGAACACGTAAACTTGTTAATGACTTTTAGGACAAACAAACCTTCTGCTGCACCCATCAAAATTATCTAAATTAAAGATATAATAGAAATATCAATTAAAGAAAAAGATTCAGATGTATAAAAATTAATTACTTAAAAAAAGATTAGAAGATTAGACAAGACTTACATTTTCATCAAAAATGACTGTACAGTTAGGTTCAATCAACTTATCTCCTTTCAAGGTCCAAATGGGTTTCCCAACAAGTTTCTAAAAAGTAACAAAGAATAAATTTTATTACTTTAATAAAAAATAGGTCTGTATAGCACAGCAAAACGTCTATGCAGAGGACTAAAAGTCCACACTGCTTTGGATGAGGTAGTATGGGTTTTAGAGTTTTACAGATCAATAGAGGTGGCCAAATAGCTCTGGTGACCCAATGTCCCATATGAGTGTTGAACCAGTTACCTGCGGACACAGACAGCCATTGTTAGTGAGCTTGCCAAAGAGATTTGAGAAGAGATAGAGGGGCTGATGGCCGGTATCTTCTGTAGGCTGGGCAATGAGAGAACAAGGCCATAAACCCAGTGCAGTGGGACTATACTATACAACCAATGGTAAATTTCTGGTGTTCTGTTCACTTCTACCTGTATTTATTAAACTGCTGCCCAGACAGGATAGTGATGGTGATTGCCATACTGAAAGGGGCAGATTCGAATCCTGATGGCATGGAAGTTAGTAAGCGGCAAGAGCAAACTCAAAATACATGGCGAGACAAAAATCATCTCAACGGGTTGGTGGTAGGGGAAGAAGTGTGAGAGACTCTCCCAAAATCCATGGACACTCCCTTGGAATTCCATCTAGAGTGGAAGCTTAGCAGTTAGCAAAGCCCAGCAGTAACTAATATGCCTACTTGGATGTACAGGTGTCAGCCTTTCTTCAACTAGTACCTACACTCGTTAAATTAGTTTGGACAAGTTAGTGATTTGAAAAATATTTTTAGAACTTGAGTAATATGCTGAGTAACACTTGATGTATTTAAGCGCTATTGTGCTGAACAACTAGGCTGAAAACTGTTTTTTCTCATTTTTGTCATATTTTGTCAGTTAGAAAGGTATAAAGTTTATGTTTAAATTTGTTTTCTATCTTTTTAATGGCATCAACAGCAAGGATAAATGTGTGATCACTTGTGCATGATGGTAATGATTTGACAATTTCTACATAATATACAGTATTATCTGTTATAAAACTGATATGTAGAACATTGGTTGACTGTGGATATTAGATTAGATACCGTTTGATTTAACATCACTGCATTTCTATTTGTTCTTAACACATTTATCACTGTTTCTATTTGTTTGTTGGGCGCTTCACGTTGGTGCATTATGGCGGGAGCGGGCGATTTTTTGAAAAATCCTCGCAAATTTTGTTGTTAGGTAAAATCCCTATAAATTGAAAACTACTTTTAATTTTTTATGAAACTGATTTTCTCAACTTTCTCAACTTCATCGTTATTATGAAAGATAAGCACTTTTTGTATAAATGAATATAGATGGTTATTTAATTACGGCAAAGCCTTGAGGGCTATCTGCCTAAGGGAATGGATGCATTCGTGGAGGACTTTCTAAGGGAAACTGGCTCGTATACACGTTACACATGGGGAAAACCACGAAAACACCCATGCAACCGTTCGCGGGATTCGAACCTCGGACAGAACTACCAGTGTTCAGCAACTTTACCGCTCGGCCGCTGGTGGGCCTAAATGAATATAGAATATACAGTTGAAAGTACAAAAAAAGAAAAAAATTATAATTTTCGTCAATATTATTTATTATTGAAATTTTTCAATAAACAAATAACTTAAGTAAATAATGAACACTAATAATGTTTTATAGTGTGATAGCTCTCAAAACATTTACCTCTATGAAAAGGTACACTGCAAAATTTACACATAAAACAAGTTTCACTTCGCACTTTTGAGATGCACACACTCGACATTTTCTTTTCTTTCTGGTTCCAACAATTTTTTCTAGAACATGTTTTTTCATATCCATTGTACAATCTTCCTGGTGGATCTTGTTTAGGCATCCTTTTCCTGAAAGTGAATGGTGCTGGCTCTTGATTGTTATCTTCGGTTCGTACTGAATCAGTAACCCAATGCAAAGCTATTTCATATAAAAATTTCTTATAGTTTACATTGTTGCTTTGTGTTGAATTAATAGACAACAAAGGTATTGAACAATGCACAATTTATCATGTACATTGTTACTTGTTTTGTCCATTTCATCGTCTTTCGTAGTATTGAATAGTAAGACAAATACTGATCTGATTGGTCAACACCTTTCATAAAGTTTTTATAATCAATCAATGCATTTGGTTTAGTTATTTTTTGGCATTTTGTTCTGTCAATATGACTCTCTTTCATTTCCGCCGAATATATAGACAAAAATAAGGCCCACTTCTTTCTTTGATAGCCAGATTTGAAGTAAAATATCCCCTTTACGGCGAAAGATTGTCTGTCCTTTTCTGAGATTTGTCTTTTTTAGACACTCAGGTAAAACTTTATTTTTTCTGATGGTTCCCCATACCCTACTTTCTTTCGAAAACGGGATTGAGTGTTATCAACACTATTATAATAATTATCCATATACAGATGGTGCCAGACATCTGTATATGGAGATAAAACTGTCTGTACTGTCTCTGTCAGCCGTGATCCCCTGAACAGAATAAATTTCAAAATTACAGATGTATCCTGTATCGCTCTCACATAACATTCTCACGAGTATGCCATATTTTATGAGTTTCTCCGCATTATAAACTCTGAAAAATAACAGTCTTCTCCAAGGCATAATGACTTCATCCAAGGATACTCACTGTTTAGGTTTGTATATGTTCACAAATTTCGGAAGAAAATAATCAATTATGGGCCTGACTTTGGTCAATCGGTCTGATTCATTGTTGATATTCTCGTTATTGTTGTAATGCCAAGCCTTCCATATTTGCCGAATCTATCTCTAGACATTGTTTTTGACAAAGAATGGCATTTCTGTGCAAGGATCTGTGGTCCAGTACTTGTCTCTTCTATATTTTCAAACTTGCTCCATGAAAATAATCAGTCCCAAAAATTTCTTCATTTCCGATATCGTGATATCCTTCCATTTCACACTTTTTTAATTATTTTGAAATTATTTATATTTTGGTAATAATACCTATTTGATTCTTCTACAAAATATGTGAACAAGTCATCTCCAATAAACAAGTTAAACGCATCAGTTGTAGATTCGGGAACAGTATCAACATTTATCCCAGGGTGACCTAAAAACTTCTCTAAGATCAGTGTATTATCAGTCGATGACTATTCTTCATGTTCATCAGAACTTGATTCAGACTCAGATGGAATAGCTCGACAGATAAATCTTCAAGGTTGTGGAGTAACGTCTTCTTTGTCACTCTCCTCCTCACTCTGCCTATCGATATCACTATCACACAAAAAATCTGACAAATTGTCCGCACAAATTTCCTGGTCACTGTATCTCATTTTCTCAGTATTTAGATATAAAAAATAACTATAAAAACAATTATTGAAAGAGTTCGATAGCAAATTTGCTTCAAGATAATTATAAAAAAATACAAAATATCACTAAAAAACTCACAATTTTTGAAAATAATATAGGTTTGCAATGTGGAAAATACCATTCTTCCTAAGGAGACGTCTAAACACCAAATTCTACCCGAATTCACTAAAAACAAAATGACTCAAAATTCGTAAATTTGCAGGTATAATGTGTTGTGATGAGCTCATTTATTGCTATTATTTATGACCTTACCACCCCATACCTAATCTGTTGTGGGAATGTTTATACCTGCGTAGTACTATGTATAACTAAGCGGCATAGAAAACATACACACATGTAGTAACTCGTATTAGCTACGTTTCCCGTGTTCTACCAGCAGTCCATAAAAATTGTATTACTACGTAATTCGCCCTCTATGCACAGATGGCAAAAAACGGAATGTTACGTGTCCCTGCTCATTTATCGCTATTATTTATGACCTTAACTTTCCATACCTAATCTAATGTGGGAATGTTTATACCTGCATAATACTATATATAAATAAGTGTCATAACAAACATATACACATGTAGTAACTTGTATTAGCTACGTTTTCCGCGTTCTACCACCAGTCCACAAAAAACGTATTACTATGTGATCCACCCTCTATGCACAGTTGGCAAAAAACGTAATTTTATGTGTCTCGACTACAATGTATTAATATATATGCCGCCCAGATAGGAAAGTGGTTAGTAACTCTGATTGCCATACCGAAAGGTTCGGGTTCAAATCCTGGAGAAGGTATCCTGTAAATCGTCTGTCCTTTCATAGGTGGCAATGGTGGCCCACTTATTAGATGCCTCCATAATAAAGTGAACACCGCTTCCAGCCTTAGTAGTGGCCAGTTCCTATAACAGCTAGTACCTGCCAGTAGAGAGGGGGGATATTATCTAATAATGTCTCTTTTAGGTACAAGCTTATGTTCAGAATACAGGATCTCCATTAATTTCATGCAATGAGGGGTTTTCTATAATTATAAAATGATCCCATCCATTGCATAAAAACTTATGTACTTGATGATCTGCATTAGATTTTTTTAGAAGATGGCGTTTTTACAATATATTTACTTAGATCATGCACTATGTGTGCTCATTTTCAGATTTATACTTCAGACTAGATAGGTATTATGCTAACAGGACTTGTTTAAAACATTTTAAACAATTTCACTTCTCTGATTAAAAATTATTGATTTTTATTACCTGATTGAAATCAACAATACGAGTATTTGAAAAAAAAGTTCAAAGGCAAATTCTTTACCATTTAGTAACTACCAAATCATAAAATTCACCCCAATTCCCTTGCCAAAGTCTTCCACTAAAAATACTTCTGTATAAAAATATCTAGTCATGGAGTTGGAGTCATGTTTGGTGGAGTTCTTAGTATAAAGCTGCTATCTTTGGTGCATGTGCATACATTTTAGATGGAATACTACCAAAACTCTAGGTATTGTTATCTTGTTCAGTTTATTTGATCATGTAAAGCACATGAGGGCTATATGCTTGCTATTTTGTTTGATCAGTTTTCAGCTATAGGCAATTTAAATTAGAACTTCAAGCAAAATACACATTCAGCATTAATTGCAGAAGAAATAGTCAACAGAATGCGGTACAGGAAAACTATTTGATACCAAGAAAATTCGAAAAAGAAAATGAAAGCTTGAGTACTTTTAAATATGATGAAATCTAAGTTAATAATTAATGTACGATAAGGCATTTTTTCCCTCCTTCCAGCATGTTTTCATGGTGTAACGAGTATGCATTCGAGCATGCATCCCTGGTGTAGCACCACACTCAGTGTGTATTTGAGAAGTCCAGGTTCGATTTCCTGCAAGGGCACTGTTAATCTTTCATGTCTTCTGCTTCAAAATAACCTAAATGATTCTAGAACAAAATATTATTTGGATAAACTTAGTAAAATACTATTGGAAAGAGGGTCAGTTTAAACAACTATAAAGCACCGGACCACTAACTTAGTAACCTATCATCTATTGACATACAACAAAATTAAATACAAATACTAGCTCATTAATTATTGTATGAATTTTCATAAAAAGCTTTTCAGATGTCCAAAGTAGATTATGACTATGCAAATCAAAATAATTTAATAAGAAAAATTACACTGAAAATCAAACAGTTGAAAAATGAAGTTTTCAAAATTTAAATTAAATCAACATGTATAACTTATGGCTAAACTTTTTTTCCCAAAGTTATTTTCCTTAATAAAGACTGAAAACTGGAAGATGTGATGAAAGATGGGCAGTCAGTAGCTAAAGAGATTTCCTCTTTTCAATTTCAGTGTTGCATAGCTGCATGAAAATCAGAAAATAGAAATTCATTAATTCATCATCATCAAAAAAACAACAGCTGATCAACAATGATGATGGCATTTATTTGACATAAGAACTTTGTTAGGTAACAAATAGAGTACAAAGTCTGTAATCCGGATGTCCATAATCCGGACCTCAAAGCTACAAACTTTATGCGCGCGTTTAATGTATAATGGACGGTATAAGCTAGGCTAAAATTATCTAAGGCATTTCAGTTAATGTTGCAGATTGCGCTGTTCCTTAATCTTCTAATTGGATCTGGCTTATTATTTTTTGCAGACTGTTAGAACAGTTTTATAAAAATTAAGCTTGAACTTTTAATTATGTCAAAAACAGTTTCCAATTCTGAAGCTGCCAAAGGATCTACAAAGCGAAAGCATGTTTCGATGTCCATTAAACAAAAAGCGGAATTGCTGCAAAAATTGGATAAAGGCATATCCGTCTCAAAATTATGCAAGAAGTATGGCATTGGAAAGTCCACTATATATGACACAAGAAAAAGGAACTTTTTGAATTTTTTGTGGAAGCATCTTAAACAACTCACATTAAAAGAAATGTTTAATAAAGTAAATAAATAAATATTAAGCTTTTTTTTTTGTAAATTTTGATACTCTTTAGATCATAATTGTTCTTTATTTCATAAATTACGATTTCATATTTTTAATTGTATAATTTCTGCATGTCATCTTACCAGATTTAAATTGATAATCTATAATCCAGAAAAACCCTAATCCGGAATCGTCGAAGTTGCGATGGAGTCAGGATTACAGACTTTGTAATGTACTTCATATACTCAATTAAGAAAACAAAGAGGGAACTTACATTTTTTTGGATACCATCAACTTCAGTCTGACTACTTTCGGCTAAAATTTTCCAGTACAGAGACCCCACATCTGCTTATCACTGAAGTTTAGAGCCATAATATACAAGCACCTAATTTTTTTTTTTTTTTTTAAATTTGAAAAATAAATAAAAAAATATTATATATGTAAATACTCAAATACTTTTTTACTGCATTGTTGTAATACTATGCATTCAGCTAGTTACTTTTTTATATCTTATATGTAATTATTGATTTTTTTTTTATATATATATATATATATATATATGTGTATATGTGTTTATTCTATATATATATATATATATATATATATATATATTTATATATATGTGTGTGTGACAACATTCAAATTATAAAAATAGCTTAAAAGTGAAACTCCAGATATGCTCTTCGCGGCCCTTAGTGACCGGTCCTTCCCAAAATTTCCAGGAAGTTCGTGCTGCATCAAGCCTGTGCCCATGTAATGCCAGAGATGTGGATCATTGAGACTGGTTGTCATAGATATTTATTATTCAGCTGCAAGAATTAGCGTTAGCTGAACTGCGAGTTTACTCTGCAAATGATTTTAGCGATCAATTATATTTCTTGTGCATTAAGAGAAGGAATCCTTTTATATATATATTCTGCTTAAGCTATTTGAAGATATTTATTCTGCTGTGTAAAGTAAATTTTTATAATAAATTATTAATTTCTCCCTACTTATCCAAAGTGAACATTCAGAAAGAGAACTGGTAGCTGACAACAATATTGTAGAAATAATTACTCAACTGACCTCACTATTAAGTCAGATATGCAAAGGATAATTTAAAATGCTAGTTAAATGATTTAATGCTATGCTTTAAAAAAAAAAATCAGGTTTACAGTTTGCCAATGAAAAAAAATAAAGGAGACTAGTTATAATCAATATGAAAGAAAATACTTATCTTTTATTAACATGTTCACTGCCAAAGCAGGTATGGTGCATCTGTTCACATGGAACAAGATCCTATCTGCATTTTTATTATTTATTTTCCTATCTGCACCTAAACATTATATGCATTTTCTATAGCAATACTCACACTAAGTGATTTAGATAAGGCAACCAATAGCAAGTTAGCATATAACTGGCAGTAAACTCAGTTTGCAATCTATGAGTATTCTCGTAGATAGCAGCAAACATGCTAACTCATCCACAACCAACTTCAAGACAAGATGATGAAAAGGTTTCATTAAATTGAGAAGAAAAAGAAGATTTAATTTGTTTTCTTTTTACTGATAGTTGAAGGCTTGATGAAAAGGTTTCATTAAAATGAGAAGAAAAAGAAGATTTAATTTGTTTTCTTTTTACTGATAGTTGAAGGCTTTAGTTGAAAAGAAGCAAAAGTTGCTGGACTTATAAAGATATTTCAATACATAGCAATGTCTTGTCCACTTCTCTGTGTTAGAACATTTCTCAGAATGGCTTTTTTCCTTCTCATAGCAAGAAATTCTACAAAACTATCAAAAATTGTACATTTTTTATTACAGAAATTGAAAGAAAATTTTTGGAATAATTAGATGTGAAAAATCATTCATTTATCAAAAATAAATACAGAGCTAAAAATTGCAATTATCTCTGTAATGCTGGCTTTTTGCATACACATAAGTACGAGAAATTATTTATTTTACATAAAATAAAATCGGCTTTTTGAACACATGCAGGTAGTAATAAAACATTTTGCTTTATAGTTCATAATTACTACACATCTCAAAACTTTAATAATACTTTAATATTTCATTTCTGTATAGTCTATAAAAGTTTATTAACTTGTAAGAAAACTTTACTAAGTGAAACATTAAGCATATGCAACAAAATGTATCTGTCAGAAAGCAGATGTTTCACAACAAATTCAATAGCAAAAGAAAATACCCTAAAGACTTGTTCTTAGAGTCTGCTAACATCTGAAACAGAAAATTAAACCAGAATAAATAATGTGGGATACTCAAAAACTAAAACTTTGGAAATACCCGTACATGATCTGCAAAAAAAGTTGCCTATGATGCACGGGTAAAACTGTTAAGCGGTTAAACCACATCGTAGTTTGGCTAAGCTGGAGCCATGCAAATTATCCTTTGTTAACTTAACAGAAGTTCATGCTTCTTTTGCTAATGCTGTATTTTACTTTATAGTGAAAACTCTTCAAAGCTCATCTTTAATATTTTAAAAATCCTTTCTAATATTAACCAAAAAGATATCTAAATGTTAAAATATTTTCATATTATCCTGCTATGCTTGCCTTTATGTGCAAACATGCCATTGCATTCAATGTTGATCTATATCAATGCTGAGTTACTCCATACATATCACCCAAAGTATTTATGAATACAGATTTTAACTACGACAAAGAGTGAATGTTGTTCACGTTCACTCTTTGAAATTTCTCAATTGCCAGTTTCAAGTGATGAAAATAGACTATGAAAGATAGAGGGCAAAAATAAACACGAAAAAGGAAACACAATGAGAACAAAATATGGAAAATGCATTAATTTTTCCTGGACACGGATAATTGCTTACTAAATTTTAAAACACTGCTTTATGCACACGTTCATAACAAAGTTTGATGGAAATCAGTGAATGTAAACATAAATGCAATATTAAACAGATAAAAGAGACAAAAATTTTATTTTATTTTATTGTACCTATACGATTCAGAGTGGACTTCATAAGGGGAGAATGAGGAGGACGATGTTGCTATTTTGGATGCGAAATTACCCTTTATAAATGCCCCAGGCAACTATCTTTAGGGGTATCTTGTTTTATATTTTCTTTATTTCTAAGCGTCTGTTGACTCTGCTTGAGACTAACTGGGCTTCTTTTTTTTTCTCAAAATTTTTCGAGTACAATTTTAAAAATGTTTTTAAAGTGAGACAAGGCAATGTCGCTGAAGCTGTTTATGCTTTAGCTTGTTATTACTTTGATCAGAATGATAAATCATTTTGCGCAAATTTGATGATCAGAGAATTAAGACCCGTCCACACGACTGCGCTCGGAACGTAGCTAACGAAAGCGCATTTACGTTATCAGCAAAACAGGGTCCAAATGAGTACTCTTGCGAGCAGTGCCTTTAGCCAGTAGAATTATTTGGCGCAAAAGATCACGTGACGCTGTAATATAGCGTTGTTCCCTTGGTCAACGGAACTGTTATCTTGTTATTTCGCTGTGTCTCGATATGTTTGAGGCAAGATGGTAGAATCAGATGATTTTTTGATAGCTGAAACTTTACTATCTAGATAGTAAAGTTTCAGCTATTAAGGCCCATCCGCACTACTACGTTCGGAACGTAGCTGACGAAAGCCCATTTACGTTACCAGCGAAACAGCGTCCAAACGATTACGCTTGCGAAGAGTGCGTTACTGCTTAGCAAAGAAGGGGGGAAAATCAAACTGGTGTAACACTAAAGTGAAAACAGTAACTGTAGCATGGAAACGGAAGAATCAAATTGCTGTATAATAAAAGTAACAAGAATCAAACTCCTGTAGGATAAAGGTAAGTAGAATTAAACTGCTTTAGCATAGAGGTGACAACAAATCAAGGAAAGTTGCAAGGAAATGATAAGAACACAATGGTGTGACACAGAAATGACAAAAACCAAACTGCTGTGGGACAGAAATAACAAAAATCAAATTGATTTAGCGTATAAGTGGAAGGTGTCTGCCGAAAACATTGCGGAGAAAACAATGCAAGGAGAAAACGTCATAGTGCAAAACGTCGTGGGATGAAAGAAAGCAAAGAGAACAGCCAAAACACTGCAGTTCTAAAACATCGCAGGTACAAAATATCGTGGTCGAAAATGAAGCAGTTTAGAAACACCGTCGTCGAAAATATCACGGTAAAAAATAAAGTGCCTACAAATCATCGCATAACGATAACATCGCGCACATGCGTTTTTCTGGTTTTTAAAAGTACCGTATTTAATACGTATAATACGCACTTTTTTCTTTGAAAATAGATCTGAAAAACGGGATGCGTCTTATACGTCGATATACATTTTATACGTCGATACTCAGTTTATTCGAAGTTAACATTTTGCAAATTTGTGAATGGGTGAAAGCTTCATGGAACGCTGTGAAAACAGAGACAGCGGTTAAATCATTAAGAAGTGTGTCATTAGTAATGCACTGGATGGTACAGAGGACAATTTGTTGTATGAGGACTCAGATGCTAATTTAAAAGAGGTTTCAAGTGACTTTACACTTAGTTATGAAGATGAATGTTTGGGTTTTGTTGACAAAGAAGATTAAAAGGTGTTCTTTCCCAGATAGATTGGGTATTTGCAGAAAGTATTACTTTTGTTTTTAAAAACTAATGATCAGTAATCAAGTTTTATACTTCAAAATGTGTATAAGAGAGGGGGTACGTCTTATAAGCCGGTGCGTCTTATACGTCGGCATATACGGTAAGTGCAGTTTTACGTAATGATTTGGGAGTGCAAGAAGGAAGGATATTTTTACTTCTATATTTCATATTTTTGAGTGAACTAATATTTTTTTGCTGAAAATGTAAGAACGAAACTTACGCATTTAAAAACTGGCAATGAAAAGAAACTTAATGCAACTAACAGCACTTAATTTTAAATTTACAAAGCTAATTACAAATTTTATTGATTTTTTATAAAGTTTTACTGGTAATTTTTCGTGAAAAATACAGTCCAAAAATGTTTAGAAAAAGGATGATAAATAACTGCATCAGGTTACCTCAATAGCAAATTGCTTAGTTATCGAATTATTTTCTTTCATGTTTGTTAATACGTTATCGTTTTAATGAAAATTACGTCTTGTTTTGTTTCTATTTCTTCTTAAAGTGTCGTTCATTTTCACCCTTTTGCCTTCTTGAGTTACCAAATAATTATGCAAAAATGCAGTTACAACTTTTAAAACCTGAAAAACGCATGCGTGCGATGTTGTCGTCATACGATGATTTGTAGGTACTTTATTTTTTTACCGCGATATTTTCGACGACGATGTTTTTAAACTGCGAAGTTTTTTTAACGGCTTTTTTTTCGACCATGATATTTTGTAAAACGATGTTTTAGA